TTTTTTTGGCATTTATTTCTATCCCGCGCTATGTGCGGCGTGTAATGGGAGGATGTACAGGCACGGGTGTACGCTACTGTGCGGCGCAACTCAGGGTGAGCATAATGAAGGGGAAGGTGAATGGGCGGCTGAGCCGCGGGTGGGGCGATCAGCCTGCGTCAAATGGCGCAAGGCTCGCAGAGGTGAAGGCAGGGGTGGTAGCAATGAAGTATGCGAGACGGTCCAAGCCCTCGAGGTGTTTCCATAGGCGGCGGAGGTGGGTGCGGGTGGAGTTGGCAACGCTGAATAGGATGTGCCGGGCGTCATCGTGCAGCGGGCAGCTGAGTAGTGTGTGCGTGCGTGAGTTAAGAAGCGCAGGGTTGCAAATGCACCCGCGAAAACTACGGTGATAACGTGAATTAAAGAAAGTGCCGATGTGGCCATGACCGACTACGGCCTGCACAAATCGACCCTCGGTGTTGCGAGAAAAGTCACCGGAGCGGAAAACAGAATGAAGGGTGGTGGAGGGGGCCCAGGGCCAGGCCTCACGTAGTGCAGTGGGACGATCAGTCGCCGCATATTCCTCCTGCCAAGAGGAGGTCGCTCGCTCGCGCTCAACTGCCATGCCCACGCTATTGTAGGGTGGACGATTTCGGGTTGGGACACAGCTGCCTTGGCGAGGCAGTCGGTGACTTCGTTGCCCAGTACCCCACGGTGACCCCGTACCCACACCAATGTGACGGTCAAATTAGGAAATTCGCTCATGAGCGGCGAGAGGTGATTCCGGAAGGTGAAAGAGAAAGGTTGCCCCGGGTGGGGGCTCAGGGATAAAAGGAGAGACAGGGCGGCGCGATTGTCCACGCATATGTAAATATTAGAAATGTCAGGATAGGCGGTTAGAAAACCACGAAAGTATGAAGACACGGTCGTGATGGCGAAGAGCTCCACGTCGAAGACCTCAGCTCGATGCCCCATTCCCCATGCGCATTGAAATTTAAGGGTGGAGTGATGATAGATGCACGCACCTGCTCCTGCTGCATGATGACGGGGGGCTGGTAGAGGGTGAGAGGTTTGGGAGCTGTCGGTGAACACCCAGAGGGCTGTGGGGTCCGAAAAGTGAGTGGATAAAAGTGGGGTGAGAATAGAGTCTACGTGATGTGTGGATGCTTCCTTAGTGGGAGCAGGGATGAGTGTAACGATGCGCATTCCCCACGGGTGCAGCGCCTCCCATGGCGGGTGGAGGAAGGGATCAGTGCGCATGGAGTCGCGTGGCAGTTCCTCTTCCAGTGCAGTTATCGGGGTGTGCTCCGCACGGCGATGGCGGATGGAGGGGTTGAGGAGCGTGAACTGGGGTGGGTATAGGTGGGCCTGGTCGCTCATGCAGGTGGCGACGGGGTGATGCCTAGGAAGGGTGAGCAGACGCACGGCCGCAAGGTTGGACAGGTGTTGCAGCTGTTGCTTCATTGGGAGCACGCTGGCAATGAGGTTCAGAGCGATTTGTGGAGTGGACTTCCACGCTCCGAGGAACCACCACAGCGCCATGATTTGGATGCATTCAAGCGGGTAGAAAAGGGCGCGCGGTGCATGGGGGTTGTACCAGACGGGGCTGCCAAAGGTGAGCACAGGCAAAATGGTAGAGAGATAGAGAAGGCGGGCTTGGGCGACCGAAATGCCTCGCTGGGTGTTCACGAGTTGGTGCAGGGCGATGACCCGGGACTGAGCGCGCGCTGCCATGACACGAATGTGATGCTCAAATGACAGGGTACGGTCGAGCCAAAGGCCGAGCCACCTGAGGTAAGGCTTCGGCTCCAGACGTTCTTGGCGACCGTCCCACTGAAAAAGCAAAGGTGGGTTAGAGGACAGGCCAGCGGCCGATGAGCAGAAATGAATGAGCTCAGTTTTGGGCATGCCGACGGTGAGGCCGAGCATGTCTAGGGAGCGAGCGATGGTAGGAAGGGTGTCCCGCAGGAGCGCGACATTGCGTTTGAGCGAGGGAGAAACAATAAGGAGCGTGAAGTCATCGACGTATCCTGCAACAGTTTGCTGTGGGTAGAGAAAGGGATCAAGTGCGCGATAGAGGGGAGAAGAGTATATGGTGGATAACACAGGCGACAGGGGTGAGCCCTGGGGAATGCCGAGAGCGGCGACGGGGTATGTAGAGCCGAGCTCCCCTTGTAGTTTGGGTGAGACAGAGCAGTCAGCAAGGAACGACGAGATCCACCGAACTTCATTGGTGGGGAAACTGAGCGAGAGAAGAATAGAATGCAGGACATCGTGACGGATGTTATTATAGTACCCCTCGATGTCCATGCAGAGAAGAGAAGCAGAAAAACTGTTCACCCAAGCAGTGCGAACAGTGTGGGTCAGGTGCATGCCCGCATCGATGATGGAGTGCTGTGAGCGGCCTCCAAACTGAGTGCCCGGGATGAGGTTCAGTGCGCCGATTTGCCAATTAAGGCATGCAGCCACCACCTTTTCCAAGAGCTTGCTCAGGGTTTCGAGCAGGGCTATGGGTCGGTACGCACTTGGTGCCGTGTAGTCTGGCTTGCCCAGTTTGGGAATGAACACAAGCGCAGCTACCTTCAGTGAAGATGGAAGGTGCCCCAGCGAGAGGGATGCGGCTAGGAACTCATAAAGAGCGTGGCGCACGGTGGACTGCCAGAGCCACCGAATGAGCCTCCAGGAGGTTCCGGAGGGACCCGGAGCCGACAGGAGGGAAGTAGAAGTCAGTGCCGTGGACACCTCGCTCTCGAGAAGAGGGTGGAGTGCCCTCGACGGTGGGTACGGAGGGAAAATGATGGGGTTCAAAGAAGGAAGAGACGGAGAAGGAGGGAAATAATGCTCAGTGAGCACCTGCCCGATGTCGTCAGGCAGGCTGAAAGACTCATTACGAGCTCGAATGATGGACGGCGCCGGGGTACGGTGCCCCTTGGTCCACAAGAAAAGGCGCCAGGGATTGGTGTGTTGTAGTCGGGAGGCTGCCGCAAGGGCCCATTCCTTGCGTGCCGTGCGAATGACTTGTTGGAGGTCGCGCTTGGCGCGTCGACACTCCTCAGTGTTGGTGGCGTCCTGGACTCGCCGCCGGGCAAAATCGCAGCCGTCGTTCCACCATAGTTGTGATGGTTGGTGGGCGCGGGTGCGTGGCGGGAAGGTGATAATATTTGCAGCCGCAATGGCACGCAAGAGTGCCGTGGCACCCTGATCAAGGTCAAGGATGGAAGAGTAGCTAGGGGGAGGAGGGTTGGTTAGGAGGGCAAGTTCGATGGTGTCGAGCCACTCGCTTCGCAGGGAAGGGTCCACACGGAAGCCAAGGTCGACTTCCGTGGGAGTGGCTTCGGTGCAAATGGTATAGGTAATGAGTGAATGGTCTGAGGCCCAAGGGGAGTCCTCGACCGCATACTGCGAAAGAGTGAAATGGGGGCTGCTAGAGGCCCATACCAGATCGATGATGGTGCCCGTAGAGGGATTTCCTCTGACGGTATGAGTGGGGAGGTGAGGCTCAGTGAGTAGCTGTAGACGATGATCGACGGTCCATTGGACCAGGTCGTCTGCACCTCTAGTCGTGGTATGAAGAGCGTGATGCTCCCATGCCCAGAGGGGATGGTGCATGTTAAAGTCCCCGCATAGCAGGATGGGGACATCAGGCGGAAACAAAGAAGAAAGAAGGTGTCGAAGGCCGGACTGGCCAGTCGTGGGCGCATCGTTATAGACATTAACAACCAAAAACTGTTCACCGTGCGACGCACGAGATACGAAAGATAGAACAAGAACGTCGGGATGGGAGGAGATATTGGGACGGAGCGTGATATGGAAGGAGTCAAAGAGATGTTTCCGCACCAGGCAGCTGACGCGCGGCCTGGGGGTCGGGTTGGAATGAGGGAGGTGGAAAGTGGTAAGGTTAAAGGGCACCGCATTGACAGTGCCGAAGACAGGGGCACCGGATTCCGCCCCGTGAGGGGTGTCAGACCCAATGCGTCCCCACCAAGGTTCTTGGATAAAATACAGATCAAAAGAAGAAATGGCCAAAAGGTCATGGAGCCGCAGATTCGAACGGGCTACATTCATTTGTGCGGTTGTAAGACTCATGACGCAGCGGCAGTGGGCAGCGAAGGGATGTGATACTGAGCGCGGGCAGTGCAAGACGGGTCAGCAGCATGGTGCTCGCCGTGGATTCCACAAACGTGACAGAAGAAATGGGTGGACGGACACGAAACGGTCGCAGGATTGTTTTCAAGAGCACAGGCACTGCACGCATTGCAGTGCTGGTCGATAGTATGGGTGTCCTTGCCGCAGAAGCGGCAGAGGGGCAGTTTGCGCTTGCAGAAGCGCTCGGTGTGAGTCAAGGCCCAGCAGCGGGTGCATTGGCACAGGACAGGTTTGTCCTTAGAGCGCTTTACGAGAAGCCGAGCTCCCATGAACCAAACGGACATGGAGGGCTCACCACGGTTGTCACGGCCAATCAAGAAACGCGAACAGAAGTCCCGCTTGGGGTCTTCGATGGAGAAAATCAGGGGCGCGCGCTCCCGCGTGTCCTCCGGCCCCGCAAAAGTGGTGAAGGCAGGTATGCCATTGAAATACACATCTGCGAACACGGGATTAGAGCGTAGCTCGGTCATAATGTCTTCCCCGGTGAGCAGAGAGCCGCTCATGGGGTGGCGTCGCGGGCATGCCGGAATGAAAAGCTTAACAGTGGGCAGGACAGGACGAAAACCTTGGGGCAGCGCGACGGTGCGCACGCCCGCCGGGGCCGGAGAGGCTGCGCAGGGCTCGAGATCGAGGATGACACGGATGGCCCGCAGAGCATCTCGGATAAGCATATCCAGAGAGTCATGAGAGAAAGTCAGGAGCACCTTGTTTGGGGCAAGGCGCATGCCACGAAAAATTACCTTCGACCAGGCTTCCGCTTCCTGGATTTGCTGGGTGATGCGCTGATACCAAATGGCAGGGGCAGTTTCGCGAATGCGGGTCACCTGCTCTGGAGTGAGCAAGGTGTGGTAGGTTTTGTCGGTCGGTGGCAGTGGCGGTGGCGGCGCCTTGACGGCCGCCTTCTTGCTGGCTGGCTCGGCGGACGTGTTGTCCCCACGCGCAGCTCGGGCGGCGTCCGAGAAAGACTTCGCAGTTTGTTTGCGCAGGCCCGCGGGGGGACCCGGGGGTGCCAGCAGCAGACGGGATCAGGCCAAGGTGGCTTCGATGGCAGATAGGCGCGCATCTATGGTGACGGTCGCCGCACGGATGCCCGCCTCGATGCCCTTTGCGATGGCGGACTGTATGTGCTCAGGCGCAGGGTTAGCTTGCGTGGACGTCCCCAGGGGGTTCATGTCGCCAGCGCACTGTCGGATGACGGCGGCGAAGATGGCGGATGCCCCTTTGCTGACTCTCATTTTCATGACCTCCTCGTTGTTGAGGAGTCGATTCTGGACGTCCGCGAAGGTGTTCGCAAGAGCGTCGACAATGTCGATGATGTCCTCGCTGAGATCCTCTGTGATAACGGGGTCTTTGGCCAAGGTGACCAAGCGTAAGGGCCGCTGGAGGATGTGCTCCAGGTCTGTGAGTAAGTCCCTTAGGAACGCAGTTCCCGGCGGGGTTGAGACAGGTAACAGTTCTTCATTACTTTCACTAGCCAAAGGAGACTCCCCCGGGGGGGCACGCTCTACAGTGGCGGCCTCCATTTCGATGTCAGTTGCAGTTGCCGGTTGGGCGCTTGACGAGGACATGGTGGTAAAGAGACCCACGACTGTACTATGGCTGGCCCCATTCTGCAAAGTTTCTCGTAGATCACGAATAATAATTCGAGTTCTGCGCCAAATCACTTCAGATCTTGAGGATATGATGCACAAACATCTCAGCTAACTAGATGGCCAAAATGATCACTGAAAGGTAAGGAGGACTGCCCATCGGAGAACTTCCGAATGAGAGGGTGCCAAACGGGAGGGTAATGCAAAATCTTGTCACCATCAGTCACATCTTGCCGTGAAACGGCTTGCGTCGGCACGCTCGGCAAACTGCTCTATTAGGCAGGTAAAGGTACAGGATGCTTTCAGCCACCGCCACGGATGGGTGCGGACTTCGGATGTGTGATTGCCTTTCCGGGCAGCGGTGGCTGGTGTCCGTCACGCTCGGTCAATGTTTCCTCAATCTAAGGCATGCCGTCCCACAAACAAATCCGGACTTTTCGTAGTGTGAATGGACTCTATGTGAAGATTGGTTATTACAAAAATCGGGGGATACAGTGAATAGGATCGGCGTAGATCTGAGGATTTCGGCCGGAATTTAGCCACTATTGAGAATGTGGCCGCAGTGATTGTCCTTGCGTAACGCGACCACTCATCCGATTAGCTATCGGAGTGATATCGAGGGTCTTTACTATGCAACAAACACTAACAACATTTTTCTCATATTCAAGCTGAATGGACTTGGGCTCTGGAGATGATTTTGCAGATTAGGACCGTTTTGCAGATTAGGGCAAGCCATAGTACTGTGGAGCTGTGCTGGGGGTTTTTCGCTCTCCGATCGTACTTCGCTGTGGCACTAGCTCTCCTGTACTACCCCTAGGCACGGCTTCACCTATACCGTCTGGTTACGATACTAAAGCGCATGGAACGGCAGCATTTGGAGAAGAATAGCGACCAAGATGACGGTACAAAGCCTTATTACTCATGGAAATTGGTGAGTGCATTTGTGCTATTTTTGTGGCTTTCGTCTCATTTGTGGCAGAATGCTTTTGAAGGCGTCCATTTGGCGTTCTATGGGGACGGCCTTGACTCAACAGGCTTCACACATTTCGTACCCATTCATTCTGTCGGTACTGGCGACATATCTGCATCTACCAATGTAACTAGTGTGGGCTCGAACGAATCAGGGTCATCAAGATTGAATTTCGAAATGTCGTCCTCCTTGCACGGTGCTTCAACTAACACAAGCATTTCCGGCGCTGCGAACTCGGGTGGAGCCTCTTTCCCCTCAGGGGCGATAGGACGCCAGGATTCAATAAAGGAGACCTCCGAAGACCGTACAACATTGCTGGGCACCGAATCTCTTCAACGCCCTGAACGTCAGCCTGATACGGCGACAACAGGATGCGCAGACTTGCCAGTGACACCTCGCGCTGGCATCTTCCTGAACAAACAATTATCTGTCGGTCGTTATAATCAAGTTTGGCGTGGTCACGCTCTTGTCGAGTCACTTGGAGAAGAGACGATAGAGATAGTGGTGAAAATTGCGATCGATGAGCGAAGCGGTCGCAAGCTGAGGCAGGAACTAGAAGCATACAAGATTTTGCATCATCACCCAGGCATTGCACCACGGTGCTTTGGGCTGTACGAAGACAGTACGGGCACGACCATCTTAGTCCTGGAGTACTGCGGCACTGCGTTAGAGGATTTTGATCTCGATTTGACGACCCGGTATGCTGTCATCATGCGGATGACTGCTATTTATTGACAATCTTCGCAGAGAAGCAATCTACCATCAGGTCGTCGAGTTACATAAAGCCGGAATCGTTCACGATGACCTTTCACCGTGCAATATCCTATTGCAGGATAATTCTACCGTTCGGATCGCAGATTTCGAGGAGTTTTGGCCAGGACACGTGTGTCCAGGCCCGGGTTGCGCGGACTTGCAGGTTCTGCGATCGCAGCTGGAACTCTAGTAATTAGCGTCTCATGTGGCTCTTTCATGAGGCGTTGCTGTCTACATCCGTGTTTGAAGTTCTGTAGCGGTATTTTCTCCGTCAGCTGTATTAACATGTACAGTTTACCTTACCGAATGACGTGGCTAATTGTACTTCTACTGGCCGTCTAGCTTCGCGGACATTGTGACTCATCTTTGTAGCTGTACTTGTCCAGTGTGATATATCATGTTTCTCGCCCTCACGATGCTTCCCACCCCGCCGGACATGATGAACTGCACGTAATCGCGGAAGTCGAGGACAGTGAGGCGAGTGCGATGTTGACAGTCAAGCACACATTCGATGTACGAGGTGAGTTGCGCTTGCACTGCCCTATGCCTCTCTGTCCCAAGACTGGTGCAGAGATGTAGGTCAATGCGGGAGGTTCAAGATTCCAGTGAGAAGAAGCTGGCTGTGGACGAGATGCTCTGTGGATAGCTCAGCATTCTTGTGGTCGCTGTCCTCCTGTGTAGATCAGTAAATATTCCCTGCGTTTCGAGACGAAGTGACCGACACAGTGGTCCACGGCGTATCTCCTTTCGTCGCTCATAGCAGGAGGTAAATATTGGAATGGCCATGTTAACAAGATAAGTCAATTTCACCATGCATGATCCCGAAAGTGTTAAGTTTCAAACCTATTCGACGGCCATTCAACCAGACCCATACAACACATTCAAAAAATCATACATCCAAGTCCGCGCGTTATACATAATACAAGAACAGAAAGCACTAGAAGCACACACACACATTTTAGTGGCAACCGCAGCACGCTCGATAGCCACCCTTTCGCACCTATATATCATGCCGTCCACCACGCAATCCCACCGAATACCAACGTCGGCAGCCACGCGACCCTCGCCACGTCCCTCGCCCAGCCCTCCCAGAAGCCTACCGCCCGCGTCCTTCCCGTGCTGATCTTGCCTTCTTCCCCTTGCGACAGCACATTTGGGATCGGCCACACCACGCGTACACGACGCCCGCACAGCGACACGTTAGAGGACCACCCCCGCGCTACCGCCAGGCGCTCGCACCACCGCGGAAGCGGCGCCCATGCCTCCCACCGTCGGCGCGTGCGTATGCGGTGCGCGCTCGCGAAGAGGAGCGCGAGGAGCGTGAACGCTGCGAGCGGGGCGTAGAGGAAGAGATACGTTCTCAGTGTCGCGGGGAGCGCGCAGGGCGTGGTGGCGAGCGTCGGTAATGGCGGGGAGAAGGCGGAGAGGGGCGAGAGGGAGAGGAGCTGAAAGCCTGGCTGGCGGATCCCCATAACGATGGAGAAGGACTTGACGGTGACTTCGATGACATTTCCGGGGGGCGAGTCGGAGAGCATGGGGTCGTGAGACGGGGAAGTTGGGTAAGGGTGCGCATATTCGCAGTAGTCGTGGTCGTCCCCGCTGTATATGCGCAAAATTAGGGTATCACGGAGTAGCCGTGGATCTAGCACGCACCTGAAAACTAGAGCTGGTCGGATGGTTTGCAAAAGGAATTGGGACGTATGCGGTGCGAGCGTATTCTCGTACCCGAATCCGCGGCCTTCGCGGATCGTACCGCGCTCTCGCAGAGGACCGCAGGATGCACCCTCTGGTCGAGATAAAGGTATATGCGTGAAGAGCACAGCCGGATTGTGCAGACGACCTTAAATAGGGGCTGATCAATGCACTCTGTGACGCCAGTAGATTCGGGAACGACATACGAGACCTCAGCAACTCCACAAAGGCAATCGTTCCAGTCGGATGTGCCAACGCCCATTGATCGCGCTCAAGGCCGTCGTCGGCACGCAGAGTCTCCTCTTGTACGAGCCCAGGAGCATTTATCATCACTAACGTGTGACCGCCTATATCGACGAGCTGATTGAGCGGACCGAAGTGAGAGGTGTAGCGCTCCAAGGCCTCTTCAGAGAACCGGGCTGAACGGCCAAGGCTGCACAGGGAGGTGAGATGGGATACATATGGGATATGATGAGCGAGAGGCGGTTGCATACCCTATGTCATGATTACCGGGGATGTAGAACGTGAGTAACGGGTCCTCGGATGCTGGCCTAAAGATCCGGCGAAAGTGCTGATAATAGTCTTCGTATCTGATGGACAATAAGTCTCATGACCTTCTCGAAAAACTGGTTGCAAATCACTCCGCACATGCAGCAACACTCACTCTTCATCGGACATTGCAGCGCGTCCGTTGTCCATCATGTCTCCCAAGAACACCACCGCGTCAGGTTTGAGGTTCAACGCAGCACGCCAGCTCTTTCGAAGGTTCATATCTACGGTCTTCCGTGTGATCCATACAAGCAAGGGATGGCGCCCCGGGTACGAATTAGCATCGAGGACTTGGGGGTCTGCGAGGACGAGGACATGAGTCGGCCGCGGGCTGTCTTCAGATGAAGTACCGGTCTGCAGATTCGTGAAGCGTGTCTAATGTTTGGATGTGAAAAGCATGCATACAGATAGTAGCAGTGAGTGGTCCGGCCATGGGCAGTGGGAGACGTGGTTGCGGAATGTGCCATATTCGTTGTAGCAGATGACGGCAAGCCAGATAATCTGGAAGACCTGCGCAAGCATGTGGTAGGGACGAGCGATGCCCAACTTGCGAGGTCGACCTAGGGTCATCGTGGTGCTTGTGCGGGAGGACAGCGCTTGCGAGTTGTCCATCGCAGTAGACACTTCCCCCGTGACCGTGTCGTCGATGGTGTACGTGCCTATATGCGCTTGTGACCCCCCCTCTGGTGTTCATGTATCTGGACTGGACTCCTATTGTAAAGGCGGCCCCATCGGCTTAGGAGACTTGAGGTACCGGAAAGTCGTATTCGGAAAGTATGGCGAAATGGCGCCGCTGATACGTCGTCTAAACCCGTCGTGCTAGGGGTCGCGTCACTAAGCCGATTCTTGTAGCTTGAACGAATAAAATGTATCTCGCTCGCAATACATCTCTAATCTCGATACAAGTGAACTCAAGACAGAGCTCATCAGTCCGATGAGCTATGATAGCATACATCAACTACTATCGGGCCTCCCAAAAGCAACAAGGGCTTGTGTCATGGTGAGAACTGGAATCATGTCCATTTTGATCTGCTGAATTACGCTCGGCGCCCTTGAATCGTTCTGTTGAGCTTCTGCCACCTTCAGCTTCCGATATGTCTCTACATCATCGGTGAAGGACAAGAAGGACGATTGACTGTGGAAGGACGATACCAGCCGGTGCAACTCGATGCATACGTAACGCACTTCATAATGACAACTGGCATCGGCGGTGCTTGAAAAGCGCCTTTTCGCCTTGACGCAAACCGAAAATTAAGAGTCGAATGTGCTGACCTACATCAAAGCATTTCACGCGATCCATGCATACTACAGAAGCGAATGTACAAGTCAGCAACAGTATAACGCAGAAAGGCAGTGAGAGATCGTCACGACCACGACGCGCGATGTTGCTTCTGTAGTCCGAGGGTTTAAAAGTTCAGCAATAATCGTTCATCGAGAGCAAGATACAAGAAGTCCTTTTACTAAGCGATCAGCAAGGCTACAAATTCGTGGAATATAGATACCGCGTTACGATAGGTTAAACAAGAGAGCCTGCTCAGTAACAGCAAGAAGCGCGACATATACAGATATTCTTGATATCATGTGGGCCAGGAGGATGATGATGTATGTCCTTCATAGTCTGTATTCAAGATATCAGTTGTATGCCGTCGAAGATCGAAGACGGCGCTTGACACGTTGCCCCAGAATTCCTTGAAAGCGCCCACCCAACCTACACGGTCAATGGCCTCCGGAATGGAGAACACTGACCACGATAGGGAACGCGTCGGTTGACCGGATGAGATAGGAGAATAGGCGTAGAGCTCCGCATTGAAAGGGTCATAGTATGTCATAAGGAACGCACGCTTCGCGCGGTCGTATGCGAACCTACTTAAATATTGTTTCAAAAACGTCAAAGAAGAACAGATACTTCCTTACCGATACACCAAGAGGCATAAGACCAACTGAATGAGCATTAAACACCAAAACCAAGAAATACTCCACGTCGTCTGGGGAGGATCATCCGAGCCAGGCTGGTGAGCGGGTTAAGCCGTAAGACGACGCAATGCAATCGTAACTAACGTACAAGAATGAACCTGGTCTTCTTCATGCTCTCTCTCAGAGGTCCGTATTTGCTCTTCAAATCACTCTCCGCGGTCTTGACCAGGCGGAGAGATTTTGTGATCTTACTTCTCGCGCTTCTCGCGGCCTTGGAAGCATTCTCAAGTGCACCCACGTGGTTATCTTCGGCGGCAAGGATCTCGCAGGATCTGGATCTACTTTCAGACACAGACCATCCATAGAAAACGAGAGCTTTAGCTTTACCCACCTGTCAACTTCGCTGAGATCCTCTGCCATGTGTGCAATGGTCTCTCGAACACGAGCGAGCGCCTCATTGTGAGGCAGTGGGCTGTCGGACTCTTCAATGACATCCTCCACTTCCCGACCCATCGCGTCGACGATCTTCACCGGATTCCGAGCTTTATGGTTCGAGAAACTCGATCTCTTCGTTTTGCGAATAGGCTTCTGCTCTGGGACGGGATCTTCCGGTAACTCCGGGGCTTCCTCCTCCATCTTCGTCTCGCGGCCGAACGCGTCCACGATCCGCATACCCCACGATTTGCGATGGGTTCTAACTGGCTTAGAAGGCTCAGCGGTGTAGCCCTCAGCCTTACGCGAGAGGCCGCCTTCGTCGTTCTCGCGCTTTACGGAGCCTAATGCCTCCGCAGAGCGCTCGTCGCTGCGCCATGCACCGATAGCGGGGAAACTGGGAGGCTCCTGCGAGGGAAGTTCCGCAGCGCTTTCTGCATCCGTGGTCTCGGTATCGACGTCGAAGCGGACTTTTAGAATGCTCCTCTTCCGAGCGGATGCTCCAGGCGTCTGCATCCAAGCACCTGGAGGTGCAGGTGTCTGCAAAGGAGCAGAGCCCGTGCGAGGCCATGTTTGCACGGGCGCAGCCATCTCGTCCACAGTGGAGGTCTCGCCGCCATTTGGTGGGGTCGATTGTGCTCGAGAGGACGGGCCACGCGAAGGGTGCTGAGAGACAGGAGTCTGCAACCAAGCCCCTGGAGGCCTCGGAGTCTTCATAGCTGTCAGATTGGCCGTCGCATCAGGATTCATGGGCGTGCGATCAGCTTCGGAAGGCTGTTCCGTGGCGAAAGACGAGGGTTCAGGCAGACCGGACATGTCTCTCGGGGGCGAGGGCGTGTAAAAGTCCATATTCGAAGCATTGAAAGGGTGCTTCGTTGGCGTCTCCGGAGGGAACATGGGAGGCAGCTTGTGTGAAGGACTAGGCGGCGACGGTGGAGGAGCCTCAGGCCTTGGAGGAGGAACCCTGGATAGATTTTCTGTATCATCTTCGCCCTCTGCCTCGTTCTGAACATCCGCCCGTTTCGAAGACAAACGAACAGTCGAATCGGCCTCTGCAGTCGGTAATTCTGCCGCCTGTCCTGGCGGTGTACTGGTGGCCAGTCCGAACTCATCATCCGTGCCTGTGAAACGAGTAGACGGTTAAGCTTCTGCGGTAGTACCTACAAGATGACCGACATACCAAAGACCCTCTCATCCTGCACGACAGACGGGAAGGGTTCACGGTCGAGCTCAGACTCCGTGTCAACGGATGACATTGGTTTCCGCTTCGGCTCCGGTTCAGGATCCGAGTCTGGAGCTGGTGGCGGAATGGGCCCAACGGGTCGAGTAAGTTCTGTAGTACCTCTCCTATGGCCACGGCGATAGGCAGTTGACACCCATTCTGGTGCCGGAGCTTCAGAGACGTCCCCTGTCTGGCTAGACGAGCGCGAGAGGGCATTTGCCCCTGGCGAGGCAGGAATCCTGCTTCCCTGCCGAGACCCAGACGCCTTCGGCCTCTCAGGGGTCACCCTCTCTAGAGGTGGAAGTGATGTTCGATTTTGAGGAAATGACCAACCGAAACGACTGTGATAGCCAGTTGTTTGATCTTGTTCATGTTGCAGTTGAGAAGACGAAGATGATACAGGCGACGATGGTCGTGGAAACTCTTCCTCAGCAGGCTGCCCCGAGGTCGGGTTTATCATAGGAGATGCAGTTCTTGACGCAGTTCTCGAGGGAATCTGTCCGTTGACACTTTCGGAGCGGGCCACAACACGGGCATCTGTAGACTTCTCCCTTGCTACAGATCTCGTTCCTCTGCGCCTCACCATCGGTATCTTCGACGGCGTAGTGCTCACGCTACGCTCTCTGGGTTCAGAAGGAGGGTTGGGAGGGGGGGATACTGACTGAGTGCGCAAAGGGAACACCGTCTTTCTTAAAGTGAAAGTGCCATCGGGTCTCTGTACAGCTTCAAAATCCAGAACCTCGGGCTCCAGTGTCATTTGAGAAGCTCGAGGCGTCGGTGAGCCTGCCCTGCTTGAGGTAGGCATCGAGCTGTACGACGAATTTCGAGAGAGAGTAGGCGCACTCTGCGTCATGTACGGCTCAGGAGAAGCTGGCCGAGCAGGCTGGTCGTGCTCATGCGCTAGATCCTGCAAGTTAAGATTGGGGTCGGAACGTATCATCCTCGAGCTTTGCTTATCCCATTCTCTTTCGCGGTCCCTCTGGCGCTGCTGTTCCTGTTCCGTCATGCTCTCCCGGTCTGCTGCTGTGTTAGACAATTGGGTCTACAAGAGGAGGATTCGCGTCTCACATTCCAAACGCGACGATACCGAGCTTGCTCTCGAGGATCCGGCCTCATCTAGTGATTGGAGAGATGTGCTACTACTTCTTCTTGAATGCGCTTTTAAAGGGCTATTCTTAAGGCCTGCTGATGAAACGCTCTCGTAAATCTACGCAGCACTGAAGAATGCCTTACTTGCCTGTTGTCGCAGGTGACTTCGCTTGAGGATGGTTCCAACCACGTTCACGATCTCTACCTGGATGCCTCATGAGCACGCCAGAAAGAGTGAGGTGATGTGCAAAGCTCACGTTCATCACCTCCGTGGGACAGACGCCTCAGCGCTGTGTCTATCAATCAGTATGGATAACTCTCAGTCATAGAGCGCACCACGTACGAGGGATTTCAACAGTAGGGCGTGTTAGAGGAATCCCATGTGCATGATGCGATTTAGAGTGAGACTCCCAGGAGGCAGATCGAGCGGGAGACGTAAAAGTCTTCGGCCGCGGCGGAGGAAACGATGCTGGCGCACCTCAGGCTACATACGACGAGCATCCGAATGATAAACTCACGAGGACGCGCAGGCACTGACATCTCATTGTCAGAACTTCCAACCGCTCCTAGCTCCTTTTGCATTTCTGTGTCTCCATCCAACAGGTCTGGATGACACATGAGATTGCCAAGAAGATCCACGAGTGCATGACACTCACTTGTATCAGCCTCCAGATCTGACATCTGCAGCGTGCGCATCGGCGTGGCTGCTGGGAGTGGCACCTCTTCCCGCTCATTGGCCTCCGTCGTGTTCGTTTCCGTGTCCGTTGGAGGCATGGACATCTCCGTTACCATCTCTGCACACGTTGTCAGCATATGTGCTCTGAAGAACTACTCTGAGTCCGACTTACGCGCAGGGGGAGGTGAGGGGAATACCGTGCGTGACCTGACCAACCGCTCTCGCAACGCATCGTACGTGGCCGCGGCAGGTGACAATCGAAGGGTCTCGTCTGATTGTTTCGAGGTATCTATGATGATGGATGCTTTAGCATTATGGTGTGGCAATTGTTGACACCCTAGAGCAAGATCAAGCCATGGTTCATGAAATTCATTCCTCGGGTTCCCATGCTGTTGTTGCGCGGTCTACACCATCAGACTACATCCGATCTGCATCCATCAATCATGGCGCGTCTCATATGCATTAACATATCAGTTTAACGTGGAAAGCGTGAAGAGCGAGACTTTCTGTACAACTACAGGAAAGATGGAGATAACTCACTGGCAAGACGTTCCGCCTCCTCGTCACTCAAGTCCCTTCTTATATCCTTCCCTGATGCCTCCCATGCAAATGTCTCTTCCCTGGGAGTCGTCTCGACTTCACTTTCATCGAGACTGTTATGACGAGGACTTTCTCGGCGTGGCGTGTTCCCGGGCTCACGCAAAGCGCGAGAGAAGAGAACCCTCAGGCTCTCGCGGGCAAAACTTGGAGTGGCAGTCGTTGAGTATGGCGGGTCAAGATCAGAGTCCGGCTCAGAGGGCGTGGTCACGTCAATCACGCGTGAGGAGGTCGCGCGAGGAGGAGTAGTTGGGTTCGTGTTCGGAACGCGGGCGAGAAGAGCACGGAGACGTGAAGATCCCCTGTCTGAGCCTGGAGATCCATTAGAGGGTTGTGAAGGATCCGGTGCTATAGAAGCTGTTGGCACTCGAGGAGTGGCCTCTTCGTCCTGTTCCTCCTCGTATGGGTTCATGTTTGGGGAGAGGCGCGAAGGTCCTGCCACAGGTGTGTAGGTGTCTGTCCGAGATTGAGGTCTCGTGAGTCTGAGACGAGGTACCGCAGAGAGGGAGGTATCCATGTCGTCGTGCATCGTGAGAGACGACGACGAGTTCACTGTGGTCGTCGACGGGCAAGGCTGTTTGATGAATTGAAGCGCGTTCGTATCTGAGTAGGCCACGTGATGGTGCCACAAAAGGTATGTGGCCACAACAACCACTGTCTGTCTGCCTTTGCTGTTCCAAGGCGATTCTGAGCTTTCATGAGACTAGGATGCGCCAATCATCGGCGAGACAATCTCAAATATCTTCAGGTTCCACCAATGTCTCCTTATCGCAAGCATTGCTTGAGAAGAAGAAGGAGTACGAAGCTGTCGCGGCTCTAGAGAGAGCAAGCTCACAGTTCCTCAAACGCATGGAGGAAATAGGCGATGACTTCGACGTGATGGCGGAAGCAGGGAGAGGTATGTATAGTATTGTTAGAACAGTGCTACCGTTCATTACATCGTATCAGTGCACGGGCAGGTCCTCGACCAATGGCCTAACATGTTCAGAATCCTAAGCCTATTCTGTATGTATCCTCCTCCTCCGTTCTCCTTTCGACATTGACACCCATTGCAGTATCGACGCGCGAACGGCAATCTGAGGAAGACGATTCTCCCTCCCTACTGGCTGGCGAACGGCTTGTGCGGGTTCCGGTCGAAGAGTTACGATCAACGGAAGACAAGTCATAACGAGGTTTTGAAGTTTGATATATGATATATGATACCCAGTATGCATTAATATGAGATGTTCTACTCACAGTTCTTCTTGTAGCTATGGGTATAGGAGAGGCATGAATGTATGTACTAATCAGCTTTTGGCAGTGCCTGCTTGTTTCTTGTGCTCTTTCAATGCTGCTATGCGCTGTTTTGTTCAATCATCAGCGTCCGCCCACGCATTGTAGTCGCGAATATGACCCACCTGCTTCCTTTCCTCCTTCCGGCGAGCCATCTCCGCGGCCTTCTCCTCCTTCGTCATGCCGACTATGTTATGATGTGCTTGTGCTGCGGTGGCTTTATCTGAGCTAGGACTTGCCCCGCCATGATCGGACGGCGTAGGCGATCTCGCGAGGCTTGAAACAGCAGACAGTCTATGCGTTGATTGCGTACCGGTGGGCGCTCGTGGCTTTGGCTGATGTATTTTCGAGGTTTGTATTTGCGAACCATTGCCCTGCGTAGCTGATGGCGAATGAAATCCTGACCACGGCTGTTCCACCGCGTCTCCGAAGCCTAACCCTACAACAGGTGCCGGAGCACTTTCGAATGCACCTATTCCGAAACATTCATCAATTGTACGTGGAAAGCTTGATCACAAACATTTACTCCAGTCATCCTGATCAGCATTGATATCGATCAAGTCATCGTTGCCCCATGGATTGCTCTCCGAGATGGCAGCCTCTGCTGCCGCTTCCTGCGCCCAGTCCGGGATCGCGCTGGACGATGACTGACTCGCCAACGTGTCGTGTCCTCCCAAGTGCATTGCCTTCGTCTTCGATGAGGCAACCATGCTCGCGGGACGCGCCGGCGCAGCCGGCGATGACAGTGTCGTGCTCATCCGAGCTGGAGGACGCTCTGAACCTGTGCTGCCAAGGCCATTAGAGCCAGTAAGTCCGGAGGGCGGGGGTGCAGATGTAGGCCGCTCTGTGCCGGTGTCTATTGTGCTCTGCAAATCTCCCGCCGCGAGCTAATCCGGCTGTCAGTATTGGCGAGAGCATATAGAGTGATGTACTGACCTTCTTGCTTATGGACGAGATAGCCCATCCAGCGAGGGCGCCAGCAGCACCTGCTGCTGTGTTCACGAGGGTGTTCGGGCCAGGAGACGATGGAGGAAGGGAGCCGGGCACACTTTCACCATTTTCAGGAATGGCCGTCTCCGGCTGGTATGATACCACTTTGAGATCTCAGTCTGCGCAGGTCAGGACTTGTTGCTTACCATGCTCGCAGCATTCTCTTGGAGTTTCTTCACGAACAGCTCCATGGCCTTGAACGCTTGGTCGCGCACGAGCCTGTCGAATGTAAGGAATCTGTGATAGATCCCAGAGCGCAGACTTACTTCTCCTTGTCGGTCATCGTAAAAGCCATGTTTGGAATGACTTTCGTAGCCAGGTCCTCCATATCATAGCAGTCTATCGTTGCCATGAACGCCATCAAGCCCGCCACCCGCGCATGCACGAATGGGTCCTTCAGCGCTCGCGTGAATGCGGGCACCAACACCTTGCGCTTCGTATTGTAACCGAGAGAGGGCCCGAGGCGTCCGATAAGGATGCACGTATTGGTGCGGATGGACGCTTCGGGATCGCCTTGCATTTTGGCGAGGAAGCGCAGGAGGTCATTGTTTAATATGCGATCGCTAAACTGTCTCGGCACAGCGTGAGATCGTCAGCAGATATATAAAGCGAATTGAACCGCACTTTGTCTGACAAGAGGATGATCGACTTGACTGTGGCTTCGCGAATGATAGCGACGGTATCCGCGAATCCTGTTTGCTACGGCGCGTCGTTGCTCCGTCAGGTAAGTACTACGCAATCTATCGATCCGCCTCTCACCAAATTCGGCCAAATCTTGTCAGAGACCGTCTTCTTGTCGAGCTTATCAGCGTATTCTGGCAGGTGGTCAAGAAGCGCCAGCCGCGTGCCTCGGTCCTGGCTCGCGTAAAGCTTCACCAGATGGACGAGGATGACATTCGCATAATCAGCAGGCGCGACGTTCTGACCAAGCTGAAGGACTAGAGGAAGAATGGATGGCGCTGACGCCCCGCCAAACTGGAGTGCAGAAACTAAAGACGGAAGCACGCGATACGAAACGAATTCAGAGGGGAACGATGATGCTGATTCTTTCAGGGTTCTGACAGAGCGAGAAGCAGACAGTTAGACTGACGTCTCTTAGATGTCATCAGGAGACCCACCGTATCAGGGCTGCCCTGTCAGATTCGCTCCCAACGCTGAAATTATCCAGCCCGGAGCACACCTTCACCAAGCGGTTCTTTGCGAAAAAACCGGAACCGTCCCCAGCGGTCTCTGCCATACCCAACTCCAAGAAATGCTGTGGTGTCAAGCGAGCTTTCGGATTCGGGTTCAAGAGTCTCTTGTACGGAGAGAACAAGGTGTTCGGGATTGATCCTCGGGATGCAGCTGTAGGCGGTGGATGAGGTGGATGGACGGTGGCAGGCAGTGGAAGCGATGTATTGAAAGCGCAGAATATGAGGAGGCCGAGTGCATATGCATCTGCCGCAGCTACATTATGTCTAAATCACGCATTAGCAGCTCAACGATAGTTCAAGAATGTCGAATTCACTCTTTAAGCACGGACCAACCGCTCTTCTTCACTTCTGGCGGTGAATACATTGATGCTTCCGAGAGCAAGCTGCCCAGGGTCTACGGAAACACAAGTATTGATTTCGGTTACGACTAGACATGATCGCGTGCCACGCACATATAGCACGGCTCCCTCATCTTTGGGACTGCTTAAAAGCTCAAATCCACCCAGCCTCCATTCTCCAGAAGCTGCTATGAAGACAGACCCTACACGGACGTTTCCATGGGTGGAGACGCAGGAATCGTTCACAAAAGCGAGTGCCACCTGTATAGCAGCCATAAATATTTTGCGGCAGAGAGAGGAGTGCAGATGCTTACCGATATCCTATGCAGTCCCCATATCAGCCAGTCCTCCCTCTCTTGCACGCTCTTGGTGGCCCATTCCGAAATTGCCAAAGATAGCGGCCGTACTCGCTCGGTCATGATGTATATCGTGCTATCCGTCTCCACCGCATCCATAAACTTCAGGACGTCCGGATGGCGCACAGTCCTCAGTTTCCTGAGAGCATTCTTTGCCAATGGTAGTAGATTCCTTTTACTAGCATTGGAAGCATCAAATTCGAATATTGATACTGAAGAGCCATCGTCCTACAAACCAGTCAATGTTCATCCACGTGTCAGGTAACACAGTTCGACTAGCCGCACCCGCTTTGTACCATCATACAGGGACCATATAGACTGTCCTTCAAATGAGGCAACCTTCGTTCCAAGGGAGAATGGCAGCGTTAAACCAGATTTCTGGACGAGAGACGATACAGCCGCAGAGCCTAGACTCTTCAGATAATCCATTGTAGACAACCGCACAGAGGGGCATAAACTTCACAGCTGCCGTCCACCACAAGTAGTCGATGCGCACTGCCCGCGTGCGCAGCTAATGTCGTGTGCGTAGAGGCGTAGAGACCTAGTAGGAGAGTGCAAAGTGCAGGCATCAAGAGAGACGCCGCCACACGTTACGCGCGCTACTGTGACCACGTCGTGTCCTAAACAGGAAGCGCGTCTTGTTGCATTCAAACAATAATCCAAGTCAAGGCTACAGGTCTAGCTGGTGTCTTTCCTTATTTCCGTCAGGCTACCAGGATATCTGACCGGAGCCTAAGTTCTGCTAGTACCGTCTGAACGTTCTTCTTGCTGCTACAACCATCATCGAAGAGCGACAATCTCTGACGGGCATCCACTTCTTGCTACAATACGACTCCCGTGTGGCGGTCTACAATGGAGCCCAACGGCGTGAATGGCCACATCGTTCATATTACAGATGGACCGTCGCACATCAACAGCACGCATGAGCCAACGGTGGAGGAGCTGGAGCACGCGCTTCCTATGGTGCAGAACGACATGATCCCACTCGGAGAGTTGCTTTCTCGTATGGCGCAGACAATTTATGCAGAGTTGTCAGAGTTAGCTGAGACGTGAGCCTTCTGTCTCAATCTACCATATGAGGGGGCTGACTGTAGCCAGTTTGCCGAACATGTCGGATACTGCGCGAAAGCGGACTTTGGCGGATTGGGTGGTGGCGACGAAGAAGCAGGTTGTGAAGCTGTATGCCGTAGTGAAGTGGTCGCGCGATGCTGGTATCGTGCAGAAAGCCATGGTACATCTACTCGGTGGCATGAACTGTGCACCTTCGTTACTAATGCCATCTTCAAGAATATCACAACATTTCTCATGGAGCAGAATAACCAGTTCCTACGTGCGCAGGATGTTTTGCTGACTCACAGAGATACTTTGAATGCGGCGAGGTGCGTCTGCAAGTAAGCGTTATCAACGGTTATTCAATGGGTGATTAGAATGCGCAATCACGATCTATTGACTTCCCTGGACGTTCTTACTACCGGGTCATATCGGAGATTGCCTTCTAAGATTAAGGTCGTGACAGTGGCATATATAGTGTCAAACCTTCTCATTTGCTTGTTCTATTCAGAGACTGGTCATACCACCAATACCGCTTACGGATGACGAAGTCAAGCACACACTCGAAGATGTCGAGGACGCCATCCGCTTCCGTCTCAGGATGATAGAGATAATCCCTCCTGAGATGTCTAGCTACCGCATTGGTAATGATACACGATTCGTTCTGCTGAAATCTCTCACTTAGCACCATGCAGCGGACGGCCGAGTCTCCTTTTTCGTACCGAAATTGTTTGAGGTATCTTTGTGTCTACGCGGCGCGAAGAAGGACGATGGATGGTTCTTCGTTAACGTCGAGTTTCTGTTCAATATCGGAGGAGATCGAACGGGCCTGCAAGGTGACTTTCCAGCCTTTCTCACGTATATGGACAGCGATTGATAATAGCAGAGTTCCCTCGAAAACCGGTTGGCATCTTGAGGAGACATATCACGGACGAAGCGGATGCACGACTCGCATTCTATCTGCCGCTACCGCCAGATCAGCCTCCTCTGCCTCCCGGTGTTGAGATACCACCTAGACCTCAGCTGCCTGAGGGAATCACGGACGCTCCTCTTGTGCGAGTGTACAACATGCTCCGTAAGAAGTCATTCTGTACGGCGCATGAATGGTCGTTGACCCGCCTGAAGAAATGATGTCATTATCTTATCAATTGGAGATTCTCTGGTTCCAGGTATGTTACACTGCTGTATCTATGCTGATATATTGAAACGTGATCTCTCTCTAGGCAGAGCGCCTGCGAAGCCTCGGATGGGCAGACTTCCTCACCGTTGAAATGACGAATAGCCGGCAAACAATGGTGGTGTCATATTGGATGTACGTCTATTCAGCTTGCCAAAATCAACTTCGATAGTTGATACCTCCCAGTCGCAAACCACCGTCCAAAATCCCTGGCCGACAGCCTCCGCCAATACCTCTCCTTGGGGGTCGCCTGACGATCTCGATCGTTCGCGTGCCAGCAGCGAAGAATAATAAGGACAATCGCTCGCCCAAGGCCCGCGTTCTCGCCGAGCTGCAAGAGAAGGCAAAGCTGGATGTCAAGCGTCCGTCTGACGAAGTCGAGCCACTGCAATTTGAAGTGAAGTGGGAGCCGGTGGTGAACGCACTGGGCATCTCCGTACCGGCTCAGGATATCCACCTATCGCAGGCTGAGCTCGCGATCGTACGTGTTGCATGTAGATTCAAACTGAGGAGCACCTGATGGAGGATGTGTTTAGGACTCGGATAACCTAGACTTCGAGTCATTGCTGCGGAAGGTGCTTGCCAAGCACTCGGAGGCGATCTTGAAAGTCATCCAGCATCAGCTGCAAAATGGGAATGAAACACGGGCCATGTTCTCTCCTCCAGGGGAGATTACGTTGGTTGTAGATGGTCTGGCTACAATCATGTGCTCGAAGCTGCCGATATTGACGTACCTGGTTCACAGAGGGCTTGCTCGCTCTCCGTACTCACCTATGTGCCGATGAGGTTGTAATCATTACGATCGATCCCCGAACTGGGCAATTAAATCTGAGAGACATGGGGGATCTTGCCGCTGCCGGCCGAGGAAGACGCTATGCGTTCATCACCGCTATGGTAAACATGGATCCGCGTACTCTTCCTTACCGCCTGCTTGTGCTCAAGCGTAATGTGAGTATCTCATGCCGCCTTTCTTATATAATCTGACAATTGCGCTAGACTATCATCGACAACGCGCGGCAAAAAGCGAATTATATCGGCTTGCAGACTTTCAGCACACGGAACTTTCCTCCGGAAGGTGAGCTTAATCTATTGACTCTACTCGGTCGCTGCGAATGCTCAATTAATCACAGAACTCAGCAAAATCGGCCGCAGCCGGGAGGACATGTTGTATATCCAATTGGCCAAGTTTCCGAACCATTACCTCGTCCTGGTCATCGCGGACGAAGATTTCAGATATGCTCTCATCTCGGTCGAAGTGCAGCAGAACGAGAATGACATGTTCCCGCAAATGGCGATGAGGGACGTCGGCTGGCTGGACGTAAAGCGGATACACGGTGACGAGATCATCGTGGCACATGCAGACGGTGCTGATGCTGGCGTGGTTGGACAAAAGCGGAAGCGCGGACTTCATGATGAGGGTGAGCACCTACGCTCTATAGAACAGTATACGCGACGGTATGTAGCATGATCTTCGACCGGCTGCTCGCTGCTGATGATATTCCAGGAGGTTCAACCTCGAGACGCACACGTTGCGAGAGATCTATGCGTTCTGTTGGTATGTCCTCATTCCCGTTCGCGGTGTCTGAGTACTGAACACTCCGCAGTGCTCGCGTCGCGTATACGAAGATTGAACAACAGTTCAAGTCCAGAAGTATACCATACACAACCGTCGATGCGAGCAATATCGCAAAGATACCCGAACTTGCGCTCGTTCAGTCGACGCTCACGCGGTCTATACCGGCCCTATGTGTACAATCGTCGGATATCCTGTCAGGCGCCCCAGCTGCGGAGGCTGCGATGCCAAACATCCGGATCATTCCATTGCACTGGTGGTCTGAAAATCAGGCTCAGGTTCTTTGCAGTGTCTCTCCCTTTCACGGCCCTTCGCTGACGAACCTATGCAGGTCGTGACGTGTGTCAAACTCAAGTACGTACAGCAACCCATTGGCAAGAGGGCAAGCAGTAGCAGCAGTATCATACGACCATCGAAAAGAATCATCTATGATACCACAGAGGCTATCGTCTCGTTCCTTTCTGAAGACGTGGACAAATGTGTTGACGAGTTCCTGGAGGAGTGGGGGCGAGTGTCGAAGATGGTCGTCGTGGCTCGGGAGGGTAAGACATTCTCTTGACATCCTGCGGTGCGATTGGCTGATGTTTTCTGTAGTGGCCCAGATGTCGCAGAAGTACAGATGGTCAGACGTCCGGCTACTCTCGTTTGACCTGCAAACAGTCGAGTTTGCGTATTCTGGCGACTACACAGTTTCCATCACCTGCGTGGATCAGCTGTCTCTGACTGGCGGGTCATACGAGTTGACGTTCTCGCGCGTTTCAGATACAGATACAATAGGGCAAAAGCCTCCGGACGGAGGGTCATCATACAACCCTCACGAAGATCTAGAGCCATATCTATGCACCCTACTGAGACACGGCCGATTGTCAGCGTCTCTACACACGCTCGTCGCCTTGCTACGCGATACCTTGCCTATCGTTCTGGAACTTGAGGACATCAGAAGCGCGACCTCACGATCAGGAGACAATGTCGATGTCTTCCCGAAGTCGGCGTATTGGTTTAGAATTCTCTACGGTGATTTAAGGTGCGGGCTTCGTAGACTCATGATGAACACGTTCACTCACGCCGACGTTCAGGCATGCGCTCGATTTCCGGTTGATGACAGAAGGCAGGGTCCTTGTCATGGATGGTGCCTTCTCTTTGTTCGCCGCCGAAGATTCATCCGGAAAACTCGTTGGGTTGAACAACCAATCTCCGAGCAAGCCTACGCCGCTTTATCGCTCGGCACCAGATCGAGCAGCCGATACCAGCCTCCTGCTGCAACCAATAGCAGACTTTCCTGCCATGATCTCGGAGGTTCTGAAATCTGTGGGCTCGGCAGGGGTTAGCGGACGGGTCACACCGATTGATATCGGCATGATTTGTGACGCCCCCGCTGTCAGAGCTGTGGGGAAAGCGTTGCATGATCGGATTCTGCAACGGCTGGCACGTTGACGACTGAATCCGATACATCGGTAGTGCTGCTGTGCGGAACACCTCTGTGAGCCAGCCGTTTCGTTAAGGCTTATCAAAGCTGACCAATGGATAGAACTTATTTCAACGGACCGTTAAGTTGTGATTGTAATTCTACCACAAAACAATGGAGATTTCAAATATATCGCATCCTTCACCAAATTTGAAGCGGTGAAAAGTCTTTCATCGTCGAAGTCACTGCCCCTCCTCCAGGCAACACGGCAAATCGTTACGTGCACTTAATCATCGCAGCCATTGACGTCTAATCGGTGGCCCATCCTCGAGGGTGGGAGGTCATGTGCTCTACATCCCTAGCAAAAATCATCTATATGCATTACGGTCACCAGCCTCACGATCTCGGGGTCCGCGCTGTGGAACCACGACCACTTTTTGGATTCCCGATGGGATTAGCTACACCGCTCTCGCGCTCCTCCCACCAATCCGGTCGCCACTCCGTCATCCAACGCTCGGCCTCTTTCAGCCGCGCTCGCAAGCTCTCCGTGGGCACTATTTCTCTCAGCTCTCTGTTGCTGGCAGCGACGCGGCGGTACATGCTTGTAATTTCTCGCATGCGCGGTGTGATATTGTCCACCCTAGAGAAGTTGGGTATGGCAACGTAGCCGTGCATTTTGCTCGTGTAGCCGGGCTTGCGGGCCTGCAAACAGGTCAAAAATATTGATAATGACTTAGAGCCACGAAACGTGTCATACCTGAAGTACTGCTTCCACGGCGCGACGGTAACAGTCAATTTCCATGTAGAGGTCGTTGCGCATGGTGTCTTCGAGAACCAGAGGTCGAATACGAGGGTCTTCCCAGTCTGAGGCCGGTATACCATCTCCATGCCGGCCGAGCACGGTGTCGTTCACCAACAACCCCTGAGACAAATGTTCGTTGATCCACTCCGTCATAACACGACCCGGTGGATACTCCGGCTCCACGAAGGATAGAGTCTCGACATGCGCGAAATCGGTGCGCTCTTCAGCGGAGTAGACATGACGGTTGTAAGGAAGTTGTCGACGAAGGAATTTGGTGATCAGCTTCAGTACGGAAGTCTTTTTCTCCGTCAAGACGGGTTTAGCCGGTTTATCGGTATCTACGACAATGATGCGACCCTGTAAGCGCAATGTAAGCAAAGTAGCACAGCCATGTAGAACAAGGTGCTCTAGAGAATGAAAAGAAGTAGGAGATGTGCTTGGAGTGCATGGGTTGTGCATACTATTATCACAAAGCGGAAAAGCTGATGAACTGACATTGTCATGATACGCCTCAAGTATCACAGTGATTCTTTGTTTCAAAACGGTCTCATATTGTGCCAACCAAAGTGGCATTAGAACAGGGTTCGCTGAGAACTGCCCCGAAAACTCAGCGTGCTGATGCTGTTTGAGCAGGCTGTAATAATTCGACGCACGAAGATTTCCTTCACGGTACCAGGATGAAACCGTGTGTCCTTCCCCATATTTGCTTGTTCTCGTGAGAACGACCGGACGGCGTCCACAATGTCCAACGGACTGCGCTGGAATTCCATGTATATAATGTCCTCTTCGAGAGGTTGGTCATGCAACTCAGAGGCGGGGATGCAAAATGAAATCCAGTTGGATCGTTGTAATGAGAATGAGATTCGAGACAACGGGTCATGCGCGATCCCTTCAAGGCGGAGTGAAGTCAGGTGTCATAGAACATGGCAAATAACCCTGTACCTGGCATGCACCTGGGGAAGACATGTCGAATTGCGAAGTGTGATAGATAGCACACGAACGTACGATCTTTGAGCTTGTTGAATACATAGTACGCTTTGCTGGGAAAAAGCCAAGTTCAGGCAGATATGTTTGAGTTGCAGGATGCTTACGCTACCTGCTGGATCTCGCCGTCCGGCGCCATCGGTTGCCATATCTTCGCTTCAATCTCTGCATGTATGAGCCACATAGGAAGGTACACAGCCTGCATGAGAAGCGGCTTTGTTCGGATGTGGTTTGACTGGAAGGGTAATGCATCTCCGAGAGCTTGCAACACACTTCGATGCCCGCATCTCACTGACATTGCTAGGCTCATTTTCCGCATAGCCGCTTCCCTGTCGACGGAGAAAACGAAGACTACAAGCATGATTGTCATTTCACCTTGTGAAGACTAACGATACGGGACGGTCACTGACAGTTGACTTTCGAGTGATAGTCAGGAATTTTACCGGTGACGTAAAATCTACATTGAGGTCTCTTCGGGCGTCGACCCCAAACGCCACGGTGCAGTGAGTTCCGCAGCATCGTTTGATATCAGAGGAGCAGCCAGTTCTCTTGCGAGCGCAAGCAGCTTGAAAGCAGACTGGTTTCGGACACGCGCGCAGAGATGTTTGAGTATGTCCACCGTGGGATCTTAGGTCCGTGACTCTGTGTGATTCTGTGACTCTCTGTGGCTCCGTGCTCTCTTTCCGACCAAAGCATCTCCTGTCCTCCTGCTTGTTCAACATGTCTCTTTCATCTAGCGGCTCCTCCCCTCCGAAAGCCGAGGAAGCCATCGACTTCATATTTGAAAAGATGGCAAAGATTCGAAAGGGGGACTTCGTGCTGTCTCCGGAACATACTCGCTCCCTGGCCACTCGACCGCCTACCATCTATGATAGGCATCTACCTGCGTATATGCGCATAAAGAAGCTAGGGCTAGATGAGGGGATGCTAATATCATTTCATGATGCAATCCTCCGGCTCGTTGGATCGAATGACACTTGCGTAAAGTTCCTGGCACGAGATGAACAACAATCGAGACACGTTATCGATCTCATCAACCATTCCATCAAGGGTGCTTTCTCATCCCACCTCAGTAACGAAGAAAGCGTGGCTGACGCTATGGGAAAAGTATTCTACGATCTTTTCACGCTGATATCAGCCATGCTCTGCAACTCTGTCTGTCGGGAGGAAGGCGAACCTCCCCCGATTCTCACTGTCGTTTCATCTACCCGGAAAACAGAAAGGGCCGACGCAATTGTCGAATTCGTGACTAGCGGAGAATCAGAATCTCTCATTCCGGACAAATACCGAGGACTAGGCGCTCTCATGACCATTGAATACAAGAATGTGCTTGCCGGAAACCCTAGGATATACCTGTCGATGATTGCCATGATTGCGGTTCTAGCTCGGAGTGGGCGATCATTCCCGTCGTGCAGCATCGACTGCGACATATGCCAGCCATTCAAATTCTGTCATGATCACTTTGCGGCTCTAACGGCTGACGGGCGCATGTCACAAGACGGTCCCTCGAATGTAGCACTCCCATCAGAAGAACAACTCCGCGCAGCCTTCCAACGTGTTGCAGAGCAGATCTCCGTGTATGACAAAACCTACTCTCCAGGCGTGAAACGAAAGAAGAAGCATCCGAAGAAGATTGGTGCAAATGAAGGTACAGAAGCGACCAAGGTATTTCCGACGGCTGCCACGAAAGATATCGAGCAGCTAGCTGAACTCAAGTCATCCATACGTGACGTTTGTCCGTCGCTTGGCCTGACTGACGAGTCCTTGCTGGACGATGCAGAGATGTTCGTGTCAAGCGCTTGGGAAACGTATATTCAAGTAAATACTTGGCTGACGTTCATTTTCCTCCTTCCATCGTACATATTTAACTTGACATCAGATGTGGTCGCGCCTGGTGACGCATAACGGCACCTACGAACTTCTCACGTCTGGACCTATGTCTTCAGTACTTCAACGTCATCGAGAGGAGCAGGTCGCTGTCATGTCAGACATGTTCCTCCTGGGTTCCAACCTGAAGTCTTACCTGCAAGATCTGACTGGCCTTGTCATCACGGCAATTGAAGATGCAGTGGTTCGATCCTCGGCGAATGGCGGTGAACGTTGGCGAGACCCGCCTTTAGGGGTCGCCAAAGATGGAGCAAAGAAACGTACACATGGCGGTTCTGATGCGGAGCAGCCGAAGCAGAAGAGGCGAAGGAATGACAAAGATGGCATGAGCGAAGATAACGAGAACGATGATGCCGACGAAGGTCTTAATAAAGCAGATGAAGACAGCAATCATGATGGAGATGACAATAATGGTCACGATAGCCATCAAAACCAACATGGTGATTACGATGAGCAGCAGAAGCGTATGGAACGGCAGCAATGGAAATTGGTGTGTGCATCTGTACCATTTTGTGGCCCTCGTCTCATTTGTGGCAGAATGCTTTTGAAGGCGTCCATTTGGCGTTCTACGGGGGCGGATTTCGCTCAACAGGCTTCACACATCTCGTACCCATTCACTCTGTCGGTACTGGCGACACATCTACCAATGTAGTCAGTGTTGGATCTAACGAGTCGGGATCATCAAGATCGAATTCCGAAATATTGTCCTCTTTGCACGGTACTTCAACTCACGCAAGCATTTCCCACGCTGCGAATTCGGATGGAGCCTCTCTCTCCTCAGGGACGATAGGACGCCAGGATTCAATAAAGGAAGCCCCCGAAGACCGTACAACATTGCTGGACATCGAATCTCTTCAAAGCGCTGAACGTCGGTCTGACACGGCGACAGCAGGATGCGTAGACTTGCCAATGACACCTCGTGCTGGCATCTTCCTGAATAAACAATCAGCTGTCGGTCGTTAATCAAGTCTGGGGTGGTCACGCTCTTATCGAGCCACTTGGAGGAGAGACGATAGAGGTGGCGCTGAAAATTGCGATTGATGAGCCCAGCGGTCTCAAGCTCAGGCAGGAACTAGATGCATACAAGATTTTGCATCATCACCCAGGAATTGCACCGCGTTGCTTTGGGCTGTACGAAGACAGTACGGGCACGACCATCTTAGTCCTGGAGCACTGCGGCACTGCGTTAATGGATTTTGATCTCGATCTGGTGACCCGGTATGCTATCATCATGCGAATGACTGCTGTTGTTGACACTATCCTCAGAGAGGCGATCTACCATCAGGTCGCCGAGTTACACAAAGCCGGAATCGTTCACGATGATCTTTCGCCATGCAACATTCTATTGCGGGAGAATTCTACCGTTCGGATTGCAGATTTCGAGACGTTTTGGCCAGGACACGTGTGTCCGGGCCCGGGTTGTACGGACTTGCAGGTTCTGCGATGCTCGCTGGAACTCTAGTGATCATGATCAGCATCTCATGTGGATGTTACATGAGGCGTTGCTGTCTACGACATATTTCCTTAGGCCCGAACTTTTGTAGCAGTGATTTCTCATTGAACTATAGTAGCATGTGCAGTATAGTTTACCTTACCGAACGACGTGGCTGATCCTACTTCTACTAGCCGTCTAGCTTCGCGGACATTATGACTCGTCTTTGTAGCTATACTCGTCCAGTACTTGTGATTGTATTTCCAGAGTGTTACCTAAATCTGTTTCTGGGTTCTGAGTGTTTCCGTATCTTTGTGTGGTCTGTCATATGTATAACCGTGTCGCACACCCAATTTATCTCCTAATGTCAACTTGGGGGTGTCGGCGGCGCTTGCATGCGCACGGCCGGTTCCGAATGACCAGTGGGATGTGGGTTCCGCGCGGTAGTCAGAGGAGGAGATATGAGTTACAATTCAGCGCCTTCGGATCAGTCGAGAAGCGCCGGCTGTCGCCGGCAGCACACCTTGCGACTGAACGCGGACGGTCGTGAGGCGATGGGTGCTGTGAACCATTAAAAAAAGTACATCATTGTATAGTTTACATAGTGATACGCGTTAGTAGTCGTCTCATGGCGAGATATGGCGAAGCGGGCGCATGTGCGTGATAGCAGAGATATTAGTTCATAGTACCATTAAAAATGTATGACGATGAGGAGTAGGAGAGTATGGAAGACTTTTGGAGCAGGACAGCAGGACAGAGGAAAAGAGTGTAAATTACAGTAAGTTTCGGAAACGCTGAGTCATTTCGTGCGTGGTGCCGCAGAATGCGGCGGGGCCTGTCGCAACGGTGGTGTAGTTCGTTCTGCAAGGCGCGTCCGACAATCGCCAAGCGACGTGTATGTCCTCGTTGGCATGTACCGCGTGACGGTCGTCGAAGGTGAGGCGGAGGCATGCTCGATCCTCGAACGTTCGTTGTCTCCTGCAGCAGCCCGAGCGGCGACAACGCGAGTGTGGGGTCCAGGCGGCTGTCGTGGAAGCTAACGTGTATCCTCGATTCGCGTACTTCAATATCAGCTGCGGTTCAATGTCCAGAACCTCATCGTTGAGTATAATCCTTGACGGTGGAAGAGGAGAGAGGGACTCGCGGATATGAGAGAGTCGGGGCCAATTGCATTCATTGTGTTGCTCGTCGTACTACACGCCGTTCTGTATTCTCGTGCTGCACATGGTTCGACGTCCTCCTCCTCGTCGCGTTCCGACTTGATGTGATCTTTGTTCTGCACAGTCTTCTTCATTCGACCCTTGTTGCTTGTTGGGTATCGACGGTCCGTATAGATGTTATCGCGACGAGGATTACGAATATAAGCAAAAGATGAAGCTTGAAGAGTAGAAGAACTCAGATAAAAAAAGGGAGCAATGACGTAGATCGTAGGAGCGAAAAAGACTGAAAAAGACTGGAACGGCCGGAGGGAAAACGGGTGGAAGAGAAGAGAAAGAGACAAACAAGCGCAAACCTCTCTTACAAAAATCGCGTTACAATTGTGCGCGGGAGAAATCTTGCAGTCGCAAGGTAATAGAACAGCGTCTGAACTCTTCCGAGTCGTTGATTATCGGTTCTGGTCCTTGGATAAGTTTGGTGAGAGTCTCCGCATCTTTTGATGGCGGATGCTTGATGATCGTTCTGTTGATCCTGTAGACATGCCGTATTGGTTGATTGATGTAAATGTAACTCTAACTTCCCATGACGTCGTCAGGCGCCAACTGGATCCCGAAATCCTTGAAGTTGAAGCTTGAAGCTTGAAGCTTGCTTGAAGCGTGAAGCTTTGAAGTCTAACGTTCGAACAGCAACATGTTGACAACTTGAACTCAAAACTTCTTTCTCTCTGCTCGAGCCAGACGATCGACTCAACCAACCAACCAACCAACTAGCAACGGTCCCACACTGGTACTTCAGACCCGGCGCCATGAGCGAGGCATGTACGATAACTTAGCAGCTTTCAGGCAATTGATCATCCTAATCATTCTAGCCATCTTCCGAGCAAGCATGCCAAGCTGAAGGTTAGTAGTCCTGATCAACACCGAACGAGGAATCGGAAGACAGCTATTTCTTTGACGCAGCCTGTGAGCTTCAGGCGTGTCTCACCCGCAACACATACAGCCCCGACAAATGCGACGTGTGTCTGCGCAAATTGTACAAGTGTTGCCAGTCCATGTATGAAAGGACCGAGGGCACAGGAGAGTCGACAGCCTGTCCCAAGCCGAGCGTCGTCCGCAGATGGCTGAAGAACCATGGAGCGAACGTAACGTAAAC